CCTTTTCACCTCCTGTGGTTTTATCTGTTCCTCTTCCAGGTCCTGACGAGAGTCACAAGAATTATCCGGAAGTGTTTACTGCATGTGCAGTAACTCGTTCCATGACCTCTGCACAGCCAAGGCTAACTCCTGATTCTGTTGTAGTTAAACCATTCTCTTTGCCTGATGACTTTTCTGTTTCTCCTTCTGAGTTGCTCCAGGAGCAGCAACTTGATTCTTCTCTCCATCAATTATTTGAGAATGTAATGTCTTCTGATGAAATTAGAAATGTTGCTCATGGGTATTTTTTGCAGGATGGCATATTGGTGAGAAAATGGATTCCTCATGGTAGTGATTTTGCTGGAGATCCTATTATGCAGGTGGTAGTTCCAGAGAAGTATCGCTCACTGGTATTGCAGATTTCCCATGATAAACTTGCAGGTCATTTAGGGGTAAAGAAGACCTATCACAGAATCCTTCGTCATTTTTTTGGGCCAAAATTGAAGAAGGCTGTGTCACAGTATATAAAGACGTGTCATACTTGTCAACTAACAGGCAAACCAAATCAGAAGATCAAACCTGCTCCATTGTTTCCTATTCCTGCTGTCAGTCCGCCGTTTGAGCACCTAATTATTGATTGTGTAGGCCCGCTGCCTAGATCAAAGTCAGGTTGCATTTATTTGCTCACGGTGATGTGTGCCTCTACTCGGTACCCTGCAGCATATCCTCTCCGTACGATCACTGCCAAATCAGTGGTGAAGGCATTGACTCAGTTCATTTCCATTTTTGGCATACCGAAGATTGTGCAAAGTGATCAAGGTTCTAATTTCACTTCTCATTTATTTTCTCAGGTCTTGAAATTGCTGCACATTAAGCACAATAAGGCTAGTGCTTATCATGCTCAAAGCCAGGGGGCTTTGGAGCGTTTCCATCAGACGCTGAAGTCTTTATTGCGTTCTTATTGTACAGAGATGGAAGGTGATTGGGAACAAGGATTGCCGTGGTTGATGTTATCAGCACGTGAGGTATGTCAGGAGAGTACTGGGTTTAGTCCCAATGATTTGGTGTTCGGGCACACAGTTCGGGGTCCACTGGCAGTACTCAGAGACCAGTGGGTTGAAAGTGCACCACCAAAAAACTTGATAAGTTATGTGAATGATTTTAAGCGTAGGTTATATGAAGCAGGTAAGGTGGCAAAGGAACAATTGCATTCTTCACAAAAGCGTATGAAGACAATTTTCGATCGACGAACTGAGGAACGGAAATTCATGCCTGGTGATCAGGTTTTGGCTCTGTTACCTGTTGAGGGCTCCCCATTTCAAGCTCAGTTTACAGGTCTGTATGTGGTAGAAAAACAAGTTACTGACTTAAACTATCTGATTGCCACGCCAGAGAGAAGAAAGTCCACCCAGTTGTGTCATGTAAATTTGTTGAAGCCCTATTATTGCCGTTCTCACAAGATGTCAGACGATGAGGTGAAACCTGCATTAGTAGTTGAGAGAGTTTCGCTTGTGGGGGAGGAAATAGATGAGGGAGTTTCTTTTCCAGATGATACAGTACTATTGGGACGTCTAAAAAATTCAGAGACTCTTAAACATTTTTATAAAATGCTGGCTCATTTGTCTAAGGATAAATGTGGTGATTTGATTGATATTGTTAATAATCATGTTTTCTTATTTGGTGATGTACCTTTGCGTACACATTGGTTGGAGCACGATATTGATGTTGGGGATTCGAAGCCCATTCGCCAGAATTTTTATTGGGTGTCCCCAAATAAACTCCTGCATTTTAACGCTGAAGTGCAGTATATGCTGGATCATGATATTGCACAACCTTCATTTTCTAGTTGGGCATCTCCCTGCTTGCTTGTGAATAAACCTGATGGTACTTATCGGATTTGCACCGACTATCGTAAAATAAATAGAGTAACCAAACCAGACTCCTTTCCACTGCCTCGTATTGAGGATTGTGTTGACCGGGTTGGGTCGGCGAAATTTGTAAGCAAGTTCGATCTGCTTAAAGGCTATTGGCAAGTTCCATTGACCAAGAGAGCTCAAGAGATTTCCACTTTTATTACATCGGAGGGGTTATTCTCTTATAACGTTATGAGTTTTGGCCTTAGAAATGCGCCTGCAACCTTTCAGCGGCTTATGAATAGGGTTGTTTCTGGGTTAGAGGGAGTGGCCGTCTATCTAGACAATGTAGTAGTTTTCAGTGATTCATGGGAGCAGCACTTGAAGCATATTGCAGCCCTGTTCTCTCATCTTGAAGAGGCTGGCCTGACCGTCAATCTGGCTAAATGCGAGTTTGCCAAGGGCACTGTGACTTACCTAGGTAAGGTAGTTGGACAGGGATGTGTGCGACCAGTTCGGGCCAAGGTTGAGGCCATTGATCACTTTCCTTCTCCTACTACTAAGAAGGAGTTGATGCGGTTTTTAGGGTTAGTAGGTTACTATCGGGGATTTTGCAGGAATTTTTCTACCGTGGTAGCCCCTCTCACTGATCTGTTGAAAGCAAAAGTAGCTTTTGTTTGGACATCTACCTGTCAGGAGGCTTTTGAGGCAGCTAAATCACTGCTTACATCCACTCCTGTGTTGGCAGCGCCTCGTTTTGATCGTTCTTTTCAGGTATGTGTGGATGCTAGCAATGTGGGTGCTGGAGCAGTGTTGTTACAGGCTGGTGAGGAAGGAATTTATTGTCCAGTTAGCTACTTCTCAAAAAAGTTTAATTCTTATCAGTTGAATTATTCGGTGGTTGAAAAGGAGGCATTAGCTTTGATTTGGGCTTTGCAACACTTTGAAGTGTATGTGGGATCCGTGTCAGACCCATTGGTTGTGTATACAGACCACAATCCGCTTGTCTATTTACATTCTTTGCGGTGTCCAAACCAACGGTTGACTCGTTGGTGCCTTTTCTTGCATTCGTATGCACTTGACATCCGACATATCAAGGGGACTGACAATGTGGTAGCTGACGCATTGCCTAGAGCTCCTTATTCTTTTTAACTGATTGACTAACTATGTTTTGCTCTGCTTGTCTGTCTTAAATTGCTTCCACAGGGCCCGTGGTTGCTGAGGATATTGGAGAGTATTACAGAGTGGTGGGTCTTTCAAGTTTGGAGAGTTATCGGGTGACGGGTTTTCATAAATGTCCACCCTTTTTTTATGGGGGGGGGGGGGGGGGGGGGTGTTACGACCCCAGTGTGGGTCATATTGTGTGGATTCGTTTGTCTTTGTCACTTGTTTTGTAGGTTGGAGTTGGAGTGAGTGACGTCATTGATGACTGATGGTTTACACCTGTGCTAGAGCTGATGCCGGCAAACTAAAGCAGCTCACTTCGGTCGTGACGGCGCGCGCTCTCCCCTCGTGCCATTTTGTTGTTGTCTTGTTCCCGTTTTGGTCTAGTCTCTTACTTTATTACTTTTACTTTAATAAATGTTATTCCTTTTTGCATTCCACTTTAACGTGTCATCTCCTTCTTTGTCGCGGCTTGCGAGCCGGCCGTGACAGCCACATAGAACCAAAGCCTCTAGAGGCCACTAGACCCTGATGGGCCTTGCAGGACAAGGCCACATGGCCATGGTAGACCACAGAGACGAGACCACTTATGAACCACAACGGCCGCTAATGCCGCACTAAAGACAAGGCTTCACTAGACAAGGCCACTAGGCCACACAAAACCAAGGCCACAATGGACCACAATGGGCCATAAGGACAAGGCCAGAATAGGCTACATGGCCATAATCGACCACCCAGAACCACGGCCATGATAGGCCACTCAGGACAAGTCCACAATAGACCACAAGGCCGTGATGGACCACACAGAGACGAGAGACAAGGCCAAGACAGACCACACAGAACGAGGCTGCGATAGCCACATAAAGACAGTCCACATTATCCGCTTATCGGGTGATGCAAGCTAGAGCTACAGCGCAGATAGATGTATAAAACATGCCACCACCACCAGTATTTGCATGAGGATTTACCTGAATCGTTACTGGAGAGCTTGCTGAGCTTCAAGGATGATTTTAGAATCAGTTCTTATATAGGATTTGAAAGCAGAGGAAGACCATCTGCCCAGGATCTTGATAGCTGAAGTGGAAACTCCTCGTTCAGCTGCTGTAGTAACTGCCCCAATTCTGAAGGAATGACTGGTATAAAGAGGATAGACTGCAGCTTTTGAGAACAGAAACTAAATGAGTCCTAAACCAGGTTTTAGAGAGGTGCTCCGTTAGGTAAGATAAATAGAGGGGCGTGATTTGAAGTTCTGGGGCGGATTTTGAGGAATTTAATCATAGAAATGAAGGGACATTATTATAGATTTTTGAAAGTGTTAATATGACACCCGATCCTTGAGAGTCATTCTTGTAGTGCTTAAGAAAGAGAGTAAAGAATTTGGGTGAGAAGCGTAAATCAGAAAAGGAAATACCATGGGCAGGATCGAATATTTTGGTTTCTGAGGTGTGCGCATGAAACCGTAAAAAGCAGATAAAAATACAGCTTCGAGCAGAATATTAGAATAGGTGGAAAAGAGACCGCTGCAGATATGGAGATAATTAGTCTGTGCAGTAAAGGCGGTGTGATAGGCAGGCGTTTATCTGTGTGTGTGTGTGTGTGTGTGTGTGTGTGTGTGTGTCAGGTAAGTGGTTCCCAACCCTGTCCTGCACAGACGAGGGAAATGAACTTAGTCTGAATTATTTCTTTGGTAACTTTAAGTCAACGGACTAAACCTTTGAAGTATGCGCTCCGGACACATCCGCAGACCACGTGACACTCCAGACGGAACACACATCCACATGCCTTCGAAGCAGCCACACAAAGAGCAATTGTGCAAGTATTCGTTTATTGAGCTTTCAGAGCATTAGAGGAGGGTCCAGCTGCGGCTTGGGCTTTCCCCTAATGACACAAGAAAGCCCATCGGGCGTTCCTGACAGCGTTTCATCGTCCAATCACGAAGAGTTTCGCAAGGCACACTGGGTATGATGTCATTTCCCTTTCTGTATTGGCAATTTTACCTCGTGGTAATTTTCCCGGGAGAAGTAGTAGTCAAGCGGTCATTCGATGAGAGATTATGTCAGTAAGTAGGCTATTGTTTATTTCTACAACATTGACTGGGAAGTATTCTCATTTATGTCACTGATATAGCTGTTTTTCGTCTTAATCTTATATGGTATCCGAATCCGATATTAATAATCACGGCAATGGTTCGGGAGCCGCTAATGTCATGCTATCTCGTCTTAGCCATAGTTAATTGTAATATCTTGAGGGTTCGAATAAGGCACTGAAACCGGTGGTTGAAATAACTCCAATAGCTTTTACTGGAAACTGCCAGAGAATAGCCGCATACACACACACACAGCTCCGCAGCTCACGCAACGTATACGACTGTTTGTAGCTAGAAGCTAGAGTTTGCAGCGAAGACTAAGTTAACATTAGCACAGTAACGTTACATTGTTAAGTTGGATGTTAACGTGTTAGCTAGATACTAAGCATGTCTATGGATACCAAGAGGCATGAAGTAGCGGCCACGTACGCTGCTTCGTTATGGTGACACAGATAACTTTGGTGGGTGCGTTGCCTCGTTTTGGTGGTAGGTAACGTTATCTTTGTCTAAAATAGTCTTTTACAGATATAGCATAGAAACGTTGGTCAAACTGTACACAAACAGCCTTTAAACACACTCAATCTCACCTGGCAAAACACCATTGATGTTATACAATGGGAAGAATAAACTTAGTGGTAATAGTAATGTTGTTGAGACAAAGTTTTATATTTTGAGTAGAGACCTTAATAAATCGATCCCAAAATTCGAATAGTGCGTTATGTTGTTAAAATAACTAAATAACTGCTTTCAGTTTGTTTAACTGTAAAAGTGATGCAAAACCAATGCTTATTCAGATGCGCAAATTTGTGTAAAATATATATTTTTCTGAATATAGAGTTGCTTGGACCTAAAGATTTCCACGCAGGTATTTTTCACATTTGTAATCCAGGATAAATGCTAATCCAATTCAACCCTGATAATAAATTCATTTAAAATTCATAGTTTTTCATCTCAACTTCAAAGGGTGTGTGTTGTTACTGGATTCTAGAATATATTTTATGTGGGTATTAGTTTTAGTAACAGAATATATTCAGATGCAAAAGCTAAGTGCTATTTAAATTTTCTTCTAGAATTATAATTTTTATCAAGCTTGTATACAAGTTCAGTAATTTCACTTAAATGACAATTAATAATTTTCATTGCCATTTAAGTGAAATTACTGTATTTTATCAAATTTATTTCAATATATGAAATGTATTATCAGGTTTGAATTTAATATTGTTAACGTGTTAGCTAAGAGGCATGATGTAGCGGCCACGCTGCTTCTTTTTGGTGACCGATAACATTGGTGGGCACGCTTTGTTTTGGGAGCATTTTGGTGATGGTAAGTAACATTATTCTACAGGTACATATTTAATAAATGCACATTGTTTACTAACTTCGTTTTCACATAGTTTTTTAACAGAGTTTTAAGTTTCTCACCTGAAGATTCCTTGGATTCAATCAGGTAGTAGCTAGTGCTAGGAGGGGGAGAAAAGTAAGTTGAGCTTGGTTAATGTTCTCCATCTATATCTCTTATCTATAGCTACATCTGTCAATTCTGCAGAGCAGTCAGAAGCCCCAGCCCACAAGGTTTTTTGAGCAAGGATGCCAATTTCTCCACTGCCCCTTTTGCCCACTTTATAAGGGTGACTACTCAAAAGTGGAAACACATTTACAGTCCCATATGAAAACAGTGGTACAGCATGGAGGTATGTTTACTGATTCATTGGCTGATTCATTGGTTTAAATTAATAACCTTTGTTTTGATATGAAGAAGGTGAGGACACTAACCGTGATCAAGAAGGCACTTGTGTTTGGACCAGTTATTAAAGCCTGCTTTGTTTTTTACCTTCCTTTCAGAGTTTGTGATGTATACCTGCAAATGGGGCTGCAGAAAGGAGTCCCACTACCACTGCTGTGCTTGTATTCAAATTTTTCAAAGAAAAAAACAACTGCTTAGACACCTCAGCACATGCCACCGTCAGCCAGCAGAAGGCCAACCCCACCCTCAGCCAGCAAAAGGCCAACCCCATCCTCAGCCAGCAGAAAGCCAACCCCATCCTCAGCCAGCAGAAAGCCAACCCCACCCTCAGCCAGCAGAATGCCAACCCCACCCTCAGCCAGCAGAAAGCCAACCCCATCCTCAGCCAGCAGAAAGCCAACCCCACCCTCAGCCAGCAGAAGGCCAACCCCATCCTCAGCCAGCAGAAAGCCAACCCCACCCTCAGCCAGCAGAAGGCCAACCCCACCCTCAGCCAGCAGAAGGCCAACCCCATCCTCAGCCAGTAGAAAGCCAACCCCACCTTCAGCCAGCAGAAGGCCAACCCCACTCTCAGCCAGCAGAAGGCCCACTGAATTCTATGGAGGCCATGGTAGAAGCCCGGCTTCACCCTGTGGAGGCCATGGTAGACCTTCATCAACCAAAAAAAACAGTTGGCCTACGTTCGAGGGTCAGAAAGGTTAAGTGCACAAAGTGTGAATTAGTGCTAAATAAAAAAAATTTAAAGCAGCATATGAGACGACGCCACTCAACTGTCAAGGAGGACATTACAGCCGACCGTCATCTGGCATGTCAGCCAATAGAGATTGAAAGGGGAATATTTGCTGTTGTAAAGTCCTTCAGCAGCAATAGTGCACCCATCCATGTACAGAAGCGGACGTGGGGGACAAGCCATCAAATTCGTTGTGAGCTGGATGCCTGTGTGCGCAACACTGAGGTGATGCATAGGAGTGGGTTTATATCCTTTGATTGTGCCCATCTGCAGTCCCTGCAATACTGCCCACCACCCCTCAGCCCTCAGATAGAACTAAGGGAGGATGTTCTGAGGGACATTGTCAGTAACAGGTGGTTCAGCGAGGAGCGGAAGAGGGCATGTCTTCTGAAAAAAACCGGCGGCAAACACTGAAGGGATCACCTTCAGTGTTGATGTTGAGGTGGGAAGCTCTTCCTCAAGAAAATATGTTTCCATTTATGAGGCAAATCTGTCTTACTATAACAAGTTTGGCAGAGTGATGGTCATGTTTGACACAGCAAATAACACGTGGCATTGCCATTGTGTTAAAGCCAAACAGGCCTGTGTCCACAAGGCCATTGCGAAATGGCACTTTTTCCAGACAAGAAAGGAGCTCTTCACGGGAGATGAGAGCGAGGATACTCAAGATAGTCAGGGCTCTGAAGACGAGGTGGAAACTGTCACCTCAAGCGATATTCAGTATCCCCCTCGAGATCAGGATTTGGGGAGAATTGTTAGGTACATTCACAACAAGAAAAGGCTTCCTGCAGACTTGCCTGCAAATGTGTATGGGTTGACAAGTGAGTCAGGCGTGCCTAAACATCTGATGCCCAAAGAGTGTGTTTGTCCTGAATGTCCTGGTGATCTTCCCCTTGGTGAACCCCTGATCATCAGCAAATCAGCAAAAATCATTACTGTCAAGGGAATCATCGAGGGTCTGTGTCACATTTAAACTAAAGTTGACAGTTATTCTTCCTTTTCCAAGTTGTATATACCACTAAATGCTCTAATGATCTACTTATGCATTTCAGGTGTGACAACTTATGGGAAAAAATGCAGTAGATGTGGAATGATGGTGCGATACCAGGAATGGGAGGATGGCTTACATAACTTTAATGACAAAGTCATTCTAACCCTCCATTTTTGCCTGTATCTTCGGAACTGCCTCCAGGTCAAATGTTAAATTCAATATGTGAAATTTATGTGATTTATGAATATGATGTGACCATACTGCATGTTAAATGCGTAACTCTGATATTCCATATCTTTATGCACAGTAGGCCATTAATTAAGCAATTAGAACTCAGGTGCAGGATGAGGCTTCTTAGCTGACAGTCATGACATTAGGCCATTAAATACATAATTGGAACTTTCCCAGTTGCACACTTGCATGGAATTACATTTTCTAATTTATTATTGTTTTATTCCAGACTCACGCAGCTCTGGGTCGAGCCATCGAGACATGGGAGCTGACGTCGGGACAGCAGTACCCAAACAAAAATAGCCTAATACATGGATACCTACATTTTGAAGCACTGACAGACCATGATTATAACTTCTCCTGTGTCCGCTGTGGACATCACCCTCCTGTGGTGGTCATGGATCTCCACAAGAGCTGTGTCTTCAGCTTGGCAGGTACAATACAGGTTTTATTTGTATGGTGAACCCCTCCAGGTGGTCTAACTACAGTATATTGATATTTTCATTTTATTTTAGTCAGTGAACTAGAGGATCCACCAGATGGATTTGATGGGGAGGTGGACATTGATGAGTTCTGGGACTCTCTATGTTTAGAGAGGATTGGACGTGGTTTTGTTCCAAGTAAGTGACTTTTTAAATATATTGTTTGTTTATAATGTTTCCCAGAGAGATATAATTCCTTTGTTACCTTTTTTCTCCTGTCTTTCTTACTCCACTTTAAGAATTACAAAGTTAAAGTTAACTATTTTTCTATCAGGTGATAAACAAAATCCTTTTGCCGTTAAACCTACGTACCACCACTGGGCCCCGTGGATTGGACCTCACACCCGCAAATCCAACAAGGTGCTCAATACAGGGCATGAAAAGGTCCACACAACAAGGCACCCAAAAGAACAGACAGAGATTGACGTTACAGAGGACAGGCTATTGGATGAAGTATCCAATTTGAAGGTAAACGGGTCTTTGTGTTTTTTTTTGTTTCGTTTATTCTATAGAATCAATATAGCTAGTATAAATGTGTTTACAGTGTACACCTTTATTTTGGTAATCTATTACATGTCCATGCCATCCGAAAGCTCTGCAGGGAGTGCGGAATTGATTCCCAAGGTTCCAAAATGGAATTAGTTCTAAGGCTGAGAGAAGAAATGAAAACCCGAAGCAAATTTGATAAAATCTTTCAAAAGGTTTGGGGAGCATCTGGTAAGTAAAAAAAATGTCCCAACAATGTGGATCTTTTCTCATTGGGTTTACTGCTGGTAATTTAGTTTTCTCATTGGGTTTACTGCTGGTAATTTAGTTTGACTTCCTTGAACACTTGTTCTCCTCAGGTGGCTGGGCTGTTGTTATGTGCCCCTGTGGACAGGTTGTCTCGCTGAAATTTAACATTAGGGCAGAAAGTCCTAGGGACTTTACTGATTTATTGTTATCTTGGAAACACATGCCCAACATATGCATATATGACTTTGCAAGAGGTCTGGCAGTGCATGCTAACCTTAGAGAGCCTGAGACGATACCTTTCAGGCCTCATGAGGGTAGGTTGTTGGACCCCAGCCATGAAAACTTGCAGTACGCATCCAATGGTGGTATGGTCAATTTACCATGGCTTAACACTAGGAAAACTGTGCCGGACCCGGGAGGACATCCATTGACTGGGTCAGCAGACCACTATTGTCTCTATGACACATTCCATGAGGGAAACACTAAAGACCCGAAAGATATCCTCCGGAGGATAAAGATGGTACCTGAACTGGCAGGGAGAATTAACAGCCAGGTTGCAGAACAACTCTTCTCAACCATGAAAAAAAAAAAACTGTTACATGAACATGCTCTCGCCATCTGCTCATGTTTTCATGATGCGTAATGTTATTCACAATTACAATCAGCGGAAGAACAAGAAGATCAAGGAGGAATTAAAGAAGCTTGTGACTCCTGAAATTCAGCTGTCTCAATGAGCATGGTCAGGCAGAATTCTGTGCCTCTCAGCCAACAGGGCTTAGCCCCGACCCAGTTGTTGCTGCCTACTCTCAACCAGTAGAGCTTAGCCCAGATCCAGTTGTTGCCGCCTCCTCTCAGCCAGCAGAAATGGGGTTTAGCTCAGACCCAGATCTTTCACCACCCTCTAAACGTAAGGAAATCTTCTATATTGTATGCATTGTATTAGTGATTGTGTATATTTATCCAATAACACATTTCCTCTCATTTTTGTCTCATCTCTTTATTTTGATTTAGGTTCAAGGTTACAGTCGCTCTCCTCAGCTGTTGACCGTACTAATCCCAACTTTACAGTTGCTGATTGGAAACGAGAACCAAACACAAGACTCTGTGAATTAGTAAGTTTGAGATTAGTTTTTGTGAATTAGACATTTTAAATATGCATGCATTCATAATGTTCTGTATATTTCCCCATAGCTGGACTATGTACTGGATATTAAGGGTGACCATAAGGAGGAAATTGTTCAAGCCAACAACTCGATCCTCACAAGGTCTGACTTTTGGACTCTGGGCCTAGAACGAGATGTTGAAGCAACGGTAAATCTGAAACAAGTGTTTAACTGTATTTCCTATGGTGTGAGCTTATTAATTGTCTTACTAATTAGTTATAGTTTTTTTTAGATTGCAAATTGTTGTTTCAACATTATCGTCAAGGCTGCAAATGCACATGTAAGTTACATTTATTACATTTAACATAATCTGTGTATTCATGTTTCCTGACTGTATACTTTTGTTGCCTACACAAAGTGTTATGCATCTGTTTTCAAATAAAGGGCATTGCAACCGTGGCTGTGGATTCCTATGTGGTAGTCACCTGGCTTCCTCCATATGAGGCTTCTCCAATTGCTAAAATGATTGTGAGTAGTAATGTAACAGAACTTGTACCTCAGCTTTAACCTCATGTTCAAGTTCCTCTTTGAACTCTTTTCATTTTCCTCAGTGTGACTTTGCATCCAAAGACGTGGTGCTTCTCCCTGCCTGGCAGCCTGGGCACTGGACATTGTGTGTGAGTAAACCCACTCTGACTTGGCTTTTTTTCTATCTGAAATACTTTGCTGTTATTATTGAATCCTCATTCATGCTTTGTTGGTACATTTCATGCGGTACTCATACGGAGGCCCGGTCGCGTGGGCACTCTCTCTGCGGAGCCAGGCGAAAGTATACCGTCTCAAAACTAAGTGCTGTCTTGCTCTCTCTTCCTCGCACATATTAATCAAAATAAATCGACACGATGGTTAGGTCGGAAGACTTAAGTTTCATGTGGGGCATTCAGAGATTTTTTTTTTTCTGA